TCAGGCAGTGTATATAATACTGATTTTCAAACAATGAAGAAATTTGTGAAAGATCTAATCGAATCATTTCTCTCAAGTGACACACAGGTGAGCAACTGTTGTCCCTCTGTCAGTAAAATCATAGCAAAGACATAAAATAGCTACATTTTTATTTCTATTAAGTATTTTTTTTCTCTCTTTTTCAGTTTTCTGTTTCCCAGTTCTCTACTTCACCTGAGGTTCACTTTTACTTTAAGAAATTTTCCTCATCTGGATCAGTGGAGACTGACATCAATAGAATCAGTCAACAGGAGGGAACTACTTACACAGCCGAGGCCATCAGATATGTTGTGTAAATAATGCAGTTATAATAGTGAAGAAGTGCAGTTACATTATTGTCCAGTTGATTTTTTTCCATAAATCTGATCACATTAAGTACTGTGTGGACTGTATGACTGAGGGAAGCCTTTTAAAAGACACATTGTACACAAACTTGTGCTTCAGAGTGTCATCTTCTACAGAGAAGATGATATGGCCCCAACTTTTTTGTTTTGAAAAAACAAAACAAACAAACAAACAAACGTGTATAACGTTGATTTGTACAAAAAAGTTAAAAAATTGCCAAAGAGAATGACATGCAGAAATAATAGTAATAATGCGGTTTACCTGATTGTGTATAATTTACAAGATCAACTGTAAAACAATATTTTGAAATGATTTTTTTTTTTAATTTGACAGGAACAGTGTTTTCACATCACAAAGTGGTTCCAGACCAAATGTGAAGAAGGTCTTGATAGTAATTACTGATGGACAATCTCATGATCGGACCGATCTGGGAGGTGCAGCACAGCTAGCAGAGAGTAAAAACATTGTTCGATTTGCTATTGGGGTAAGTACTTCCATTATTTAAACCTGCAGTATGTTGACTTTTACAGTAATAATGAGTTTTATTCAGTTGTCACACTACAGTCACATTATGCTGCACTATAGGGAGAAAAGTCCTGAACCACTCACTCACTACAGCTCCTGAAGTTGCTTGGCCATAGAAACCAATGTTATGAAATTCCCGTC